AAATTTAGTCAAATATATATGAATGTTGTGTTGGAATGGTTCAACATGAGGAAATTCTATATATGGAAAGGATAATTGCATTCTCAAAATTTGGTTATGATTACGGCATCCCTTTTCTTAATCAAAATTGTGAGAACATGGCAATTAGAAATATTATAGCAGAAGACTGGTAAAGTATCACGTCTTCATGTAAGACATTATGAATCGTGTCTCATACGCTTCGGGTATAAGATCGATTGCTTATGCTATAATGTTTGATCATTCTAAAATTTTCCAAATGCTTAGCGCATTAAGAGGGAAATGGGACTAGAACGGTTTTGACTAAAATAATTAAACAAATATCAAAGGACGATCTAAGGTTCGCCAAGGATTTGTTGCTTGTGAGTAGTTGGAAGTATAGTGTTGGATGGACCATATCGACATTATTATGAATAGATAAGATTCTATTAAGAATGAGTTGTCATATTTCAAATATGGAAATGTTTCCATATTGGGAGTTGGAAATTGAGAATTTATGTCTAGATTAGAAAATTTTATGCAAAAGGATGTTCAAAGTATTGTACTTTGAGTGAGAGACATCACATCTATAGAATTGTTTGTAACAATTTCTGATAGAGACCTTGTAACCACAGTTGGATCTGCGACGGCTTCCTTATGACCTATCGCCAGAACTCTGCCCACTTCGTCGGGGTTGGGGTTTCTTGCCTTCGGGCAGTTACGTTTGAGGTGTCCTGCTTCTCCACATCCATAGCAGGTTCGGCTTGCTCAGGCGTTGACAGCTTGTGCGTTTGGTTGGACTAGAGTCCTACAGAATCGAGCGGTATGCCCCTTTTTGTTACAGTTGGTGTAATGCATTTCACGGCATGCACCGTTGTGGTGGTAGCTGCATTTGTTGCACTTGGGCAGGTTCCCAGCGTATTGCCTTATCGGAGTGGGGTTGGCAGTAGTTGTGGCAGCGTGCACAGCAACCACTTGTTGTTTCTTGGCAGGGTCTTGAGTAGGTTGGCTTTTCTTCTTATCCCAGAATTTTCTTTTGTTGTTTCTCCCTTTTGCTTGCTCGGAGGTGGTTGTTACAGTGCCATGGTTGGCGTTATGGTCAATGAGTTGTTGTTCCAGTTCCTTGGCACTGTCAAAGGTAATTGGCTTTGAGGCCAATACGTGTCCTTGGACTTAGGGAGAGAGTCCCCATATGTACCTTTCCACCTTCTTACTTTACGTCGGAACCATTCCGGGGCACAGCATGGCCAGATCATTGAACCTTGAGGTGTAAGACAGGATGTCAGAGCCCGTCATTTTGAGACCCCAAAATTCTTCTTCCAGCTTCTGTATCTCTCCCCTGGGGCAGTACTCCTTCATCAACATGGTTTTTAAATCTTCCCATGTTATTGCATTAGCCACCGGGAGTGTTAGCGTTTTGACGTGGCACTTCCACCAGGTGAGGGCTCTTTCGGAGAATGTGCATGCAGCAAATTTAACCTTGCTTGCTTCAGGGCATGCACATATTTCGAAGACAGTCTCGGTTTTCTCGAACCATTGCAGCAAGGCTATAACACCTCCGCTTCCGTTGAAGGTTTTGGGCTTGCTGTTTGTAAAGTCTTTGTAGGTACACTCTCTCGAGCGTCCCTGACTGTCCCCGTTGTTAGAATTCGAGGCACCACTACCCGCACCGCCAGAATTAGTGGGGTTGATTTGAGCTATCGCGACTGCTACTACGGCCGCCACCGCAACCTGAAACATGGCTGGGTCGAACTAAGGAGGTGGTGGTGGGGGTGGTGCAGTCCCAGCTGCGCCGCTGCGTCTAGGATTTCTACGAGGTGGCATTTTCTGCCATTATCAAGAATAAAAAGACAATAAGTCTTTGATACAAGTCGAGTGTTAAACTAAACATTATTAGTTCTTTATATGCATCATGATTCCGACTTGTAAGAATGTTGTAAGAATCCACTCATACCAGAAGTCTATAAATAATGAAATATAGACTTTATGAATTTCGATAGTATTGATTCTCATGAAATGTCTGTGATAGTATCCATACCGGGTCCACCCAACAATCGCTCGATGTATAATATTTATATGTAATCAAGATTTAATAAACTTTCGAATCTAATGGGTCTGCCATGGGCCCACAACCAAACAAGGAACATGATCCAAAGCGGAACCACCATTTCTAGGTCGACATGGTCTAAATTACATATAACTTTGATTTATACCTCGGGTGATCATAGGTTGGCCACCAGTAAATTTTTATCTGAAAATAGTTCATGTTATGAATTTGATGTAGTGTTCCCAATAAAACAAATAGCGCATCAATATCATTGATATAACTTAGTATACAATACTTGGGAAAATTTGACCCTACTAGGGGTCTATGCTATATCAATGTACAGAAAATTTTGACCGCCTAACAGATCCCGGAAGTGTAAACACTTAAATCGCGAGATCGGACATAAAATTCTAGAAAATAATAGTAATATTTATCCGCAAACTAGATTAAACTGGAGCGAGCAGTGCAATACTACTTGCGGCGGTTGAAGCTCTGAGGATCACAAAGTGTAGACACAAAGTTCCTCATTTCAGCTCGGGATTCCGCCGCTTGGCGCTCTGCTTCTGCCAGACGTCCTTCTAGTGTGGCTCGGTGTTCTCGGAGTTCTTGCACTTAAGCTCGGGTTGCAGCCATTTCCCGTCGAAGAAGCTCGGTGCGGTCTCGAGTCCGATCGTGTTCATCATCCAAACGATGAATACGAACGGAGTTAACTTGGCTGGTTGCACCAACTTCCATGAGGTGGCGAATGTTTACCCTTGTTTGCTCCTCATGGTGTGCGACACGGCGAACCATGACAGGAAGGGCTCGGTCGGCTGACCCTCCTCTACTAAGGTCGTAGAAACTTTGTTCCATGCCATAGGGAGGTCGTTGACCTTGCTCTCGAGAAACTTTGGGAATAAGAAGTTAATTATTGCAGTTGTGATTATTACGGCTTTTTGTGTTAAAATACTCCTATAGTATTTTTAAGTTTGATTCTTGAAATCTTTGGTAAGTTGCAGACTTGTTGCTCACCATGATCCTTCTTCGGCATACATTGGTCCTACCTTGGCTAAATATAGTTGATCAGGCTATATTCATCCAAGATCTGACTACATACCCCGAAGCTGAACCATGGTGTCCAACTTGTCTTAATACTTTTATGATACTGAATTGATGAGTGCGGTTGTATGTGTACTTTTTTTTAGAATACAAATTTTTATTTTTAAAAGTACTTTTGAAAAGCTACGTCAGAGAATTTGTCCCGTTGTGTTTATAGTTTCTATATCTTATGCGGTTCGATATACTTAGTTCACTATAAACAAAGCTCTGATACCAATCTATCACACCCCCAAACCAGGATGACGGAAACGTCCAGGGGCGGATGACTAGCATGTAGTGTATCATAACAGTTGAGTATAAATGTTCAAAGCAAACACAACCAACATATATAAATTGAAAAAGTTACATCATTTGTACGTATTACATGTTTCAAAATATCAATTACAATATGTTGTCAAAAGATTTGTTTAGATGCCTAAGCGTCCCATCCTCAAAGCCAGTTGTTACCTGATTTACTGATTTCCTGAGAATACAAGTTATTTGAAAAGAGAGTATCAACATTTAAGTTGGCGAGTTCATACCCCTACATCGTCGATGCTTCCGACGATGTTTTTGGAGTGGTGTAGAGGAGGGCGGTGATTATACTTTCTCCACTAATAATGGTGAAGGAGAAGAGAAAGACGATGGGGTTAGGATAAGTAGGGGTGTTGATAACACCAAGAACAAAACTCCGTTTTGAGGATGGTTTTTGTCGTTGTTGGATGGTTTTCCTTTCCCCCGGTCTCCTATTTTTCCTGTAACTCTTCTTGAATTTGTTTTTAGGCTGATTTGTACATTTGAGGTGGTTTGCAAAGAAAAGAATACGAAAGACTTAATAGAGGTGAGAAGAGAGAGAGAAAGAGAAAGAGAAAGAGTAACCTATGTCGATGGAGTGTGCGGTGGTGGTCTCTCGCCGGAGACAAAAACGGTGCAAGGAGGCGCTGGGTGCAGTTAGGGTTTTCAATTGAGGGGTGAATGAGGGAATGAAGAGGACGATGTGAATAGGTAGAAGAAAGAGGTGGGTGGGTGGGGCGGGGGTGGAGTGAGTGAACTCTTTTATTAACTTTGTATTATTAAATATTGTAAATGGGTAAAAGAAAAAAGAAAAATAAGAGTTGCAAAGAGTAAAATTGTCGTTTTATCCGGACTAAAGATGTTTTTCCAAATCACATGGATGGATTCTATCAACTTTTCAAAGGTTGTACCAAACCTACGAATTGAACAAAAACATATTGACCATTTCTGGAATTTACTCTAGATTAAGTTACTTTTGTATCATCAATTAAGAACTTACTTCAGTATGATTTTATAAGTATCAACTGTAATTTTGGTATAGCAAGTACCAAATTCAAATGCTACTTCATGTATCGTTTAACAAAACGATACAAGCTACAAACTACCCGCTACCATCTAGTTTTGCCGAACACACCCTAAGTAGCTTTTTAAAAAGCTAACATATAAATATTTGTAAATACATGTGATAGTTTTTTTTTCTTTAGAAGCCATTCAATGAGCATGTTATACCATATAGAAAGGATGAGATGCATGGATCCAAAACCCAAGAAATACTTAACTCTTCCTAAAGAAGCTTTATGTGAAATGCGAAATATCCTCTTATGCAGTTTGGTAAGTCCATTAAAGGTGATCAATAGAGTAAAGAGGGATGACATTTCTGGTCTAATTTCAGAAGAGAGTAGAAAACTCAAATCCAAAATTTCATAGATAATTTATGGTAAATGGTAACCTGAAATCAAAACAGAAGATAATATATCACCAATGGTTGGCCTTTTAATTATACCCTTGCAATTTATGAGTATAAGCGAAATCAAGAACTTACAATTTGCTACGAGGAGGGCAGCAATGTTGTATGCTGATGAAACTAGACAATTGAACGCTTTGGCTTCTTAATATATCGAATCTTCATATACTTCAACATATCACCCGTGACAATGGCAGCTTCATCACACACAATGCAAAATGGTGCTTGCATTGCAGGCCTCTTTGATGCAGGCAGCTTAGTCAACAATCCTTCAATGTGTTTTAACTTTGTCAGTAATTCCTCAATCTTACTTTGCATATGCTCCTCCATTTTGCTTTGCTTAAAATGTGGCATCATTTCCCGCAAGTAGGATTGCATTTCAGAGGCAGATTGTGTCCACTGCATGTTAACTTGTGCCCTGCAGCTCACCATTGGTGCAATGGGTTGTTCCCTGTTGGCATCACAAAATGATTTACGCTGCTTTAGTAGCACACATAGTTCTGGAACAAGCTCTTGTGCTGATACGATATTCCTCATAAGTCTAATCTCCTGCAGTGTTTGGCTTTTAATAATACAAATTAACGCACAAGAACATACTGCTATTAATTGCATTATTAATACCTCAGATGAGACAATTGTGCAGATGGCACTAGGAGAAGTATCTAGCTGATCATAGTTTTTTATTTCAGTGGACGTAGTTAATTTCTCTTGGGCTCCCACTTCCAAGTATACCCTTATTGGATGAGTCATTGAAAACTTTGAAATCTTTAAGTTAGCAAATGGAGAAGATTGAGGTGCCATTACTCTCATGGATGAAAAACACTACATAAATTATTGCAATAGAAAATTATATATAGATTGTTTTGTTTTCGTCTTTTTACTGTTTCCATCATCCATGGTGGACATACTGAGATACACATGACAAACAACATCTAGGAAAAATACCTCAAGAATGTCCAAGTTTAGTGTAAGAAATTTGACACTTTGTTGGAGCACACAAACTAAGTTAAGAGGATCTTCAAAGTATGGTGGGTTTGTATTAATAAAACAAAGATCCACCTTCTCCAAAGAAGGGAAACCTTGTGTAGCAATTAGCTGAAAAATACGACAACCTTTTATGACCAAGGAGGTAAGCCCAGGTGCAGAAATCATCAGATGCTTCCCATTGAAATGGTTAATATTGAGATTCTTGAGTTGAGGTGCAACTACCTTGATAAGGTCCAAATTCAAGTGTGTATGTTCAAGTGTGAGATTAGAAATTCGAGGATGACTTAGAGTCAAATCATTTGTTCCCCTCACTTTAAATCCTCCTAGGGAGAGATTCTCCAAGTTGGTGCACATGGATAAAAAACCAACGCAATTATTAGTATTATCATCACACAATGTGATGCCATCAAGATGCAATGTCTTTAAAGCTGGAAGGTTCCAAATGGAGGTCATGATAATGGAAGATGAGAAAAAAGATACACTCAACTGCTGGACATTGTGAGAGAATGTGTAGTTGAGAATTTGTTTGAAAGATTTACTGCTAAACGTGATCTTGATTGAATATACTTGTGTTTGATTATTGCGTTGAGACAAAGCATTAGAAACAAATTTGAATGAGTGGGGTGAAGAATGGGGTTCATTGAAATTGAGATATGGCAATGAAGTCCAGATAAACCTCCATCTGGATGACAAAACACTCAGTTCAATAGCCTGTGTCAGGCTAATAAAAGAGAGGATTTTATGAATAAGATCATCTGGCAAGCTACTTAGTCTATCAACCTTGACAATCATTCCAATTATGCCATGCCTAAAACCCATTCTACATTTATGAGATTTTGCGTTCATTTACACATCACAACCAGATCATTATGCATTCTGTTTTGCTCCAAAACCTGGAAGAGGCTGAGACAGTGAGGCTGAATTCTGAAAACTAAGAACGACAAAACATTGTAATTTTAGTACAATGAAAAAAGATAATTATTCAATCGGAAATCAGAAATTAAAACAAAAATCAACTCAATGCTATCTAACTATGCTTTTATAGGGTCAGATTACCAGATTTGGAGATTGGAGAAATCAGAAAACTGCGTTTGCTTCACTCAATTTCCTGCTGGCTGCTTCACAATCACAATATCAGTAATAAGTAATCAGTAGTTATACATCAGAAAACTTAATTGGAATTTCAAAGAGCTAATATAACTAGAATTTCATAAAACTATCACCTTGAGAAATCAGAGCCGACAGATACAATTCTGAATTTATAATTTTGAGACGGTTTTTGATTCTTCTCTTTAAACCGGATGGACTGCCATTCGAATTTGTATTGGACTGTCAAGAATCAGTGAACCAATTTGACGATTTGGATTTTGGGAGGACTGGAGGTCCGGAGCGTGGAGATGTCGAAAACGATGAGATAGAGGAAGAAAGGCAGTAATTATCCCTACCCCTTCCTACTTATTAATACCCACTAATAATTACTTTTTAATAATTAAGCTATAATTACATATTTTTTATTAATTATTATTACTTTTAATAATTAAATTATGATTACGTATAAGATTAATAGTTTTTTTAATATATCAATAATTAAAGATTAAATTTTAGGGTATAAAAAACTTACTTTTTTTAACCCTAACAAATGTATTCAGCCGCCACAGAGAACAAATCCGAATCCGTCGACTTTCCGGTGGCTTCAAGAGAATCTGTCGACTTTCCGGTGGCTTCAAGAGATTTCCGGCAAGTTTCTTTGAGCTTCTCTTCTCTCCTTCTTTGTCCCACGGTGATGGCAGTGGACCAGGCGAATTCCGGTGGCTTCAAAAGATTTCCGTCGATTTTCCGGTGGGTTCAAGAGAATCCGTCGACTTTCCGGTGGCTTCAAGAGATTTCCGTCGACCTCAGGCGATTTCCGGCGAGAGAGGCAACGATTCCGTCGACTTCAGGTGATCCCGGTGACGTTTCAGACTCTTTCCGGCGATGTTTCACGCTTCAGGCGACGATTTCCGGCGAGGTTTCACACTTCAGGTGGTTTCCGGCGATGATAGTTATGCGAATATCTCTTTCTCAGTCTATCTCTGTCTCTTTCCTCTATTCTCAGTAGCTATTTTTTTTCTCGTTCCCTTTCTCCGGCGACTGAAGCACCGTTAGTGTTGGCCGGCGGTGGTTAAAGTTAATTGTTCCGGGAAGTCATTACATTTTATCAGATTTGTTTATTGTTTGAGAATATTCCTTAATCATTCTTATTTTACTTGTTTATATACATGTATTGTGTATTATTGTTTGATTAAGTGGAATAATGATCTTTAACAACATTACTTGTTGTTTAACGGTAATAGTTGGTTGCAGCTTATACATTGAACACATTTTCAAAGATAAAATCCAGTCTTCAATGAAAAAAAAGCTGAAATTATAAATTGCACCGTCTTCAATGAAAAAAAAGCTACAAAATGACCTAAACCCTAGACCAAACAATGGAGCGAGCTTTCACTCTCTTTCACTTTCATGTGATACAAACCTTTAAAAATTATATGGGTATGGAATATAGTTTTTTATCCATTTACCCGTTAACGATCCGAACCCGCTAACCCTTTTATTAAAAGTGTCTGGTATGGATCATCACCGATCCGTTCCGTTTATAACCCGCCTCATATAACTTTTAGAATTATATATTTATATTTCATACTACCTAAAGTTTACTTTTAATCTCAATCGAAAGACCAAAAGAAAAAAGCCCAAAGACCAAACTATTTTTACATAGGACTCAACTTCTAGACTTCAAGTATTCTACCAATAATCATGATGTCATTTCATTTATATTTCATCAAGCTGTTGGAATCCTAAGTCGATGAGGGCTTGGAGACCAAGCAATCTGATTTATGGAAAGTTTAGTTTATGACAAGTTGGTCATAAGTTTCCTAGTCTAATACAAGTTGGTTTGTTAGGCTATATATACATGTCCATAATCGAGTTTATGATTATGAGAATAGATTGTAAAACATTGGTTTTGAGTGATTTTCCAATTAATCAAAGAGTGGATTTTGGTTATTTTGTTTTGCATTATTGTTTTCTAAACTTTAATTGGTATCAGAGCATAGGGTTCGTGAGGACATAGGGAGGCCGGTTTGAGAGTCGGTTTTAAGAAAAGTGTAGCCCTTTGCTGCAGGGCAGACGCAGCGGGAACCGGGTTCGGTTTAAGGTAGTGTGGATTATTTTTTAGCGCGAGTTGAAGCATCTCAATAGCATCCCCGATTTTTCTTGATTGGGCTTGTTCTAAGGTAGAGAGAGAGAGACTAATCGGAGGCGCGAAATAAATGGACGGGAAGACGTCAAAGCGGGTGGCTTTGATTCGGTTCGTTTTGCGGGTGACGGAAGACGGTAAAGGTGATCGTGACATTGTCTTGTTGTTCGGTGGAAAAGTGCTCTCGGAACAAGCGTGATTAAAGAGATCGGGTGGTGAAAAGAGATAATAGGATGTTGATCAGGGTTAAAGAATTCTCTAGAAGGACTTAGAGATTCGGGGGTGATTGTTGGAATCCTAAGTCGATGAGGGCTTAGAGACCAACCAATCTAATTTATGGAAAGTTTAGTTTATGGCAAGTTGGTCATAAGTTTCCTAGTTTGTTAGGCTATATATACATGTTCATAATCGAGTTTATGATTATGAGAATAGATTGTAAAACATTGGTTTTGAGTGATTTTTCAATTAATCAAAGAGTGAATTTTGGTTATTTTGTTTTGCATTATTGTTTTCTAAACTTTACAAGCAACCACCAATTTTATTTATAAATCAATAAACTCATTTATCAACCGGAAGAAAGTTTGCAATTGTTATTTTCTATCAATGCAATCGACGGTCAAAGACCAATTGAAAGTTACTACAATAATGATTCCAATTACAATCGAAAGTCCTCAAGTACGTAATGTGTTTTCTAAATCAACATTTGTTTTATTTAATAAATGTTATTTTAAGAATTAAGTAAAATACGTTTGATTATTCAAAAAACCTACAAGTTACCGGTCGGCTTTGGATATTTGTTGATTCAGTGGATAAGGGTATATTATTCAAAACCTTGTGGGTTACGGAGCGGGTTTGGATCGGATTTTGAAATTTGTTAAAAGGGTTTGGATCAAGGTCGATTCGCTCCAAACCCGCCCCACTGCTAGGTCTAATATGTATGTATTGTTATCTACACATATTTCCTTTTTACTTCACAATTCGGTTATCGGTACCTTCATCAATGGAGCATTGAATTGGCCATTCAATACCTTAAGCAACTACAGATTATTACATTCTATATTGAGTGTTTTGTCAAAGCTTACACCGATTAGAGATATTTACAGTTGTTCTTAAGTTGTTATGTATACATACATACATACAAATCACTTTGACACATGCCATTCGACACGTCGACTTGGTTTACAAGATCCTGTAATTTATGTACTTCGTTATGGATGTACCGCTCTATAGCTTGTGATTCAAGAGACCTGATTAAAACCGCTATTGTAGCTTGTGATTCGAGAGATCTAATGAAAAACGCAATTGTCAATCCACTGACGAATTTGTGCCACAATTTTTTTTTTATAATTCCTCGTCGTTCGTCTTTGTATTGGCTTTAACGCCTCTATTATGTAAAGGCTCCGTTAAACACTTCATATTCAACATATCTTCCATCTTTGGCTTCCAAATGTTATAATTTGTGGGCGTAAGTCGGACCATTGTCAGGTGCTTTTGTGCACACCTTTTCGTCCCTTTTATGCATCAATTTAGTGTGGTTTATTTCATTTTATATGCATTTCATTAAAAGTCATGTTAGTTACTAGAACAACCTTATTTGCACATTTTTACAGTCTTTTTAGGTGATCTGGAGGTGGAAACGCGTTTTGGGAGGTGCTGGGAAGCACGGGTGAAGATATTGGGACGATCGTACGCGAAACAAAAAAAGTTGGAAAATCAAGTTTGCACCTGGAAGCAGAGACGAACAGAAGGCATGCTGGAATTGCATTAAAAAAGTGAACATGGGGCCTGTTTGACCAAGAGGGAGCTGTTGACCTTGATGAACACGGGCCGTGTCATTTTAGCCTCTATTTCGACACGGGTCGTGTTCGGTCCAATAACTGACTTTTGGCAGTTTTTCCTTTTTACTCTATCTTGGGATTTTTGGCCATTTTAAACTTATACTTCATTTCAAAGGACTTGGAGAAATGTGATTTTGAGTTTTATTGCAAGGTTTCGATTATAATCATTTGGAAACATTTGTCGTTAGATTTGTAATTCCCATTTGCGGATTATTTCATCATTTTTTTAGACTTGTTGATTGTTCTAGCCATGTGTGGCAAGAACCCTAGTTTCTTCAACTTTATGTTTTGACTTCTTAGTTGTGATTTCAATCACATGACTTGATGTTTGCTTACGATTTTTATCTAGTTAATTTGATTTTGTTTTAATCGAATGTTTGATTCTAATTGTAATTCTTATTGGCCATTTGAATTAGGATTAGGTCATTCAGGTTATCTAATTGCAAAATCTGTAATTGTTTTGTGAATTGTACTAGGTAACAAGCACTAAACTAATTTCCATTGAATGCATTTAGTGTAAATCTTATTCACACACTCTTACGCTCCCGAGCTTGTGAGGAGTATTGGATGTTGTTGGAAACATTCACACAAATCTTAATGCATCATTTTGATTTCTATCTAAGAGCTTGTTTAGACTTAAACTAGAAGGTTAAGTTACTTTCAAAGAACTTGTTTTGAATTTGACAACTTGGTGGATGAAAATGTTAGAGCTTGTTAACACTTTCAAGTACCAATTTAGGTGGAATTGAGTAAATATCTTGTTATCTTTGAATCACATTGTTAAGTTGTGATACATAGAGTTGAAGTCTTTACAATTTCTAAATTTACTTTATCTAGTTAACCATTTACTTGCTTCTTTAATTATTTGTTCAAATTATTGCATACAAACCCTTTTTTGTTGTGACTAAATTACCTTATGCAAAGAGGTATAAACATTAACCCTATGTCTCTGTGGATCAACCATGCTTCTCCTATACTACCTTTTAGTACAATATAATAGTGTTTTTTTGGAGTATATTGTACCCCTATTATTTGTTGGGTTTGACATCCTAACAACCGTCGTATCTAAACTTATAGATTTCATAAAAGAAACACATTGTAATTTGCATTTACAAGGGAAGGAATTAGCCAAAAATGAGCTTTCGGTTGGATTTAGGAATGTTGACAAAGGTAAAGTAGACCCATTCGAGATCGAAATACATTTTCTTTAAAGTTATGGGCCAAGTTGTAACTTCCAAAAATACAGGTACCAACTGTAATTTTTGAAATACAAGGACTAATCTGAAATACTTAAGAAGCACAAGGACCTTTTTATAACTCTTAAGAAGTATAGGGACGAACCTCCAAACTTTAAGAAGTAGAGAGACCAACTGAAGTTTGTCATAAGCACAAGGACTAATTTGTAATTTTCCAAAACAGAAAGGACCAATATGATTTTTTTTTTAAATCTAGTCAACCTCCTTGATTACATAAAAGGGAAAATCGGAACAAATTTCTTATTCAGCGTGATAAGTCGTATGTGTCATTGTTAGAATGGAAGAAGAAAAGCGCATTCATGAAACTAGTCGTTTGAACGCTTTCGCTTCTTATTATATTGGATCTTCATACAAACCAACATATTATTCGTGACAATGTCAACTTCTTCACACACACTAGAAAATGTTGCTTGCATCACATCCCTCTTTGATGCAGGAAGCTCAGTCAGCAGTCCATCAATATGTTGCAGCTTTGTCATGAGTAATCTTTCAATTTTCCTTTGCTCAAGTGTTTTACACTGCTTTAGCACCACCCTTAATTCTGCAATAAGTTTTTGTGCTGATACCATATCCCTCAGAATTCTAATCTCCTGCAATGTTTGGCATGAATATGATCATCATAAAGTTCCAGCATAAATGCCTTTTGTGATACAAATGCATATAACTTATTAAGTTGCTTTATAAAGAAATTAAATAAGCAAAAGTGATAACTGCCAAATAGATAGATCAGGTTATAAAGGTTGTCAAAATTGTATTAAAATGCATTTAA